TCCTCCCCCCTCCACCCTGCCCTCCCCCAGCCTGGGTGGGCCTGTCTGCAGAGGCCTCCACCCATCGGGCCCGCCCTGCCGTCTGCCCCGTCTCAGGACCCAGATGTCCCTAAATGCTGACCCGAGCTCTTCCTTCTGGCCTCTACCCTTCCCCTGCGCTCCTACCCCAGTTCTGGGGGGTCATGTCATGTCAGGCTCGTCAGCTCACTCATGCCTGGGTGACCCTCACCCAGCTCCTGGATTGTTCCATGAGCTCGGTATGAGCCAGTCGAGTGCGGGAGCCCGCATGCGTGCCACGGGAGCCCCTGCGTGTTGTGTGACAGGGAGACGTGTTGTCACGAGAAGGGCCCAGATTCCGGACCTCTGATGGGGCTGGCCTCTGTGAAGGACAGTCCTGCAGCCCTGGGGGAGGCTTGGAGGCTGCAGTATGGTGGCTTGGGGACAGTGTCCTCCTGGAGCCTCAGGGAGGGCCTGCGGGGATGGAGCGGCTCTGGGCACCCCAGTGCCGGCTGGACCCAGCTTCTCTGAGCAGCTTTTCAGAGCCCAGAGCTCAGACCTAGAGGGGTCCAGTGTGAATATGCAGTGGGATGGGACCGGGGGTCCCCAGCACCTCGCCCGTTGGCAGAGAGAGTTGGGGGCAGACGGCCCTCCAGCTTCCTCCTGCGGGTGGGAGTGTGTGGCTGGTGGGTGTTGGGGGCCATGAGGGTCTGGGGAGAACCAGCATCCCACGAGCCCGGCAGGGCCGCCCACGTGGTCACTACACCACGTCCCTCCTCCCGGGGAGTCTGGCTGTCTGAGCGCTCAGGGTGGGGGCGGCTCACCTGTGCCCGCAAGGGCTGCGTTTGCACAGGGGGAGGGGCCGGCCGGGCCTCCGCAGATAAGGCATTAACAGTCCCGTGCCCTCCAGATCTGCTGACGCTTCCTGGCGGCCCAGGTACTTGCGGCGAGGTGCCAAAGGTTCCCTATAAAGTGCTGGGGCTCTGGCCACGGCCACGCGCCCTCCGGCTTCCAGCCCGCGGCCGAGGGGACCCACTGCAGCCACCATGGTGAGGCTCGTGCTGCCCAACCCGGGCCTGGAGGACCGCATCCCATCCCTGGACCAGCTGGATGTCATCGAGAAGGAGGAGGCCAGCTCGCGGCCCACGTGGGACAACAAGGCCCAGTACATGCTCACCTGCGTGGGCTTCTGCGTGGGCCTGGGCAACGTGTGGCGCTTCCCGTACCTGTGCCAGAGCCACGGCGGAGGTAGGCCGGGTGGGGCGAGCGGGGGGCAGGGCCGGCGGCACCGATGTCCCCGGGACCCCAGCACCGGATCGCAGAGGGGAGAAGTCTGGAGGGCAGGGGCTGTGGCCGGACGGCACGCATCGCCGGGAGCCCCCGCAGGCGCCGGCGTCCTCACCTCTCTAGTGCTTCGCCTGGGTCGATGGGGGAGACCCAGACCCAGTGCCTGGACGTTGGGGGAGGCCACCTGCGTTCCAGGACCCAGGAGCCCCGCCCTGTTCCCAGAGAACAGACCTGATCTGGGCACAGAGGATGGGATGACAGGGGACGGGGTGATGGGGGGGGGCGGCAGGGGCGGTCAGAGAGGGACCTCCTGCTCCCCCGGATAGAGCCCCTCCTCTGAGCATGGAAGTTGCCAGCATGTGGGACGGTAAGGCCAGCCCTCCGAGTGCTCACCCTGTAGTCCTGACCCCACAGGCGGGCTCAGGGTGGCCTTCCCCAGGGCTGAGGTTGCTCCCTGCCCCCTGGATGTGGAGCCCCACTGGGGGTGCTGGCTCTCAGCGCCACGATCTTGTCCCTCCTGGTGTCAACAGGCTGCAGGGACCAAGGTCACGCCCGTAGTGCCCTCAGCCCCTGTGCATCCCTGGCTCTGTCTCCCCCGGGCCTGCAGCCCTGAGAGGGGTCAGAATGGGTGCCAGCCGCATCCGTCATGGAGGCGGGGGTCTGGGGCAGGGGTCACGCTCGCCGGAGGCACAGGCCTTGCAGAGCTGGCTGGGCGCTGGGGACACTCCTGGTCTGTGGGCTTCTGAAAACTCTCCCTTGAAAGGACGAAGCCTCTCTGCCCTCCCTGTGTGTTCTGTCCCAGCCGGCCCTGAGCCCTGGTCAGGAGCTGAGTGTCTGGCCCCCAAGCCCAGGAGACAGTTGCTGAGGACAGTGACAAAGCTGGCAGGTGACCGCTCTGGGTGACGTTTCCCACCCTGCAGGCCAGCTGTGGGGATGGAGCCGTCCAGTAACCTGGAGAGAAAGTGACATCTCAGAACCCTGAAGGCCAGTCCTGATTTGGTGAAAACTTAATTGGCCTTCGGTTATTTCCGGGAGTTTTGGGTAATTTGAAAGTCAAACAAATCATCATTTATTTCATGTTTAGCTCTGTGTTTTGAAAGAATACAGTAAAGTGTGGAAAGCAGAGAGAGCTCCAGAGAAGCCTCGGCCCCAGGGCCGGGTCGGCGGCGGCCGGGCGCACGCGTGTCACGGGAGCCCCTGCGTGTTGCGTGACAGGGAGACGTGTTGTCATGAGAAGGGCCCAGATTCCGGACCTCTGATGGGGGCACCTATGTGGCCGGGAGCGCCCGATGGGCTGGGCCCCCGGCCTGCGTCCCCGGCCAGCCCCCTGCGGTTTGCTTTCTGGGGTTCACCTTCAGCCAGAGGCAGAGCACAGTGACCGCAGGCAGAGCCGCCTCAGCCACGCCAAGAGAGCTGGGCACAGGGGCCTCGGGGCGGGGACAGCCTGCACTGGTGTGGCAGGGGACGCCCCTGGCGGGAGTGAGTGGCATGTCACGTTCAGCCGTCAGGGACCAGCGAGAGAGACTCAGGGCCCCGAGGCCCCTGTGTGGGGGGCGGGCTCGGCCCTTCCCTGACGAGGGCCTTTCAGAAGCCCTGGTTGAGTCAGGACCAGAGCCCGCATCCTGGCGCCACCGCCCTCGCCTGGGCCTCGGTCCCTGCTGTGAGCGGGCGGTGATCGAGGGCTACCACCCCTCGGCGGTGTCCCCACGCTACGCCGTGCAGCTTGCAAGCCAGCGGGGGCGGGGGCAGGGGCGGGGCCTGCCAGGACCGAGAACCAGGAGACTTGGCCTGAGGCAGGACTCAGACCACTCAGAGCATCGGCCAGAATGGCCACATCCTTGTTACCGGACGGCCCCCCGCCGAGAGTTCTGGACCAGCGCCAGGCCCAAGAGCACGGCCAGGCGAAGCGTGTCCCCCATAGCCTCAGACCGCCATGCGTCCGCACTGCCCAGTCTGTCCACAGGGCTGCCATCCCCGACGCGTGGCGGCACCCTTGCCCCTCCCCGTTCTGCATGCGGCAGAGATGGTGTGCGGGCTGAGGGAGCCCCAGGAGGCAGTGCCCCCAGGGGCCACGCTGCCCACTCAGCACCTCTCCAGCCCGGCCCGGCCCGGCCCTGCACCCGCGAGGTCAGCAGGTCTCCCTGGGGCATCGCTTGGCATCCTGCCCCCCCCCCACATGGTGCAGGACAGAGCCGCGCCTCAGACCCTGCTGCCCCACCTCCGGCTCCCTAAATTCTCCGAGAGAAGAGAAGCGAGCTACGCTCCTGATCTCTCCACCTGGCCAGTACCACCCCGCCTCTGTCTGCACGGTGTCCGGTGTCCGTGAGGTGGGGACTGCGCCTGCGCTGACAGCAGCCCCGCGCAGTGCCCGCCATGCCCACCTGAGGCCTCCCCCCCGCTCCTCTGTGCCCCGCCCTCGTCCTCACCCCCACGCAGCCAGACCAAACGCAAGCTTGGCATTCCTTGAGTTTCTTGGGAGAGAAGCTGAGCGTCCAGGAGCTAAGAACTCGCTCGTTCTTGGGAAGAGCCAGGCACGAATGCCCCTGCCCAGGCCAGGGGAGCTGGGCGAGTGGCCCTCTGGCCGCATGGGACAGCCCCACGACGTGGGGACACGGGAGGGCTTGCTGCCCTTCAGGCTCCCCGGGGCGGGGCCTAGCCCGGCCCCATTTTGTTGGTGGCGTTCGTGTGTGTTCCCCACCCTCCCACCCTCTCTGCTCACTGGCCGTGGAGCCTGCTGGGATGCAAGCCGCCTTCCGGGGACCCGGGGACCCGGGGAGCCCCAGCCTCCTGCCTGGGAGTCTGGGAGGGGCTCCAGAGCGAGGGCAGCAGAGGTTTCCTGCCCACGTGGGGTTTCCAGGGGTGATGGGGAGTCTCCTGGTGGAGACGGGGGCGGTGTGATCTGTGGGCGAAGGTGACATTGCAGAGAGGATGGGACACGTAGGGACCGCAGACTTGCTTTCCTCTGGGTAGTTTTGCCCAAAAGGTTTGCCTGTCGAGCTCCCGAGAAAGCGTGAGAGGGGCGAATTTTTTCTTACTGGAACTTTACCCTCAACGGCACCGGGACCGGAGAGAGGACCCTGCCCAGGAGCCTGGCCCTGGCTGCACCCCGCTCCCATTCTCCTGGGGGACCCGGCTGCTGCGTCATCCCGCTGTCTGCTTTTCACCTTGTCACGCTGAGTTCGCCATCCCGTGCGGGCGAAGTTGCCACACCGTCCGCGCCTTCTCGGCTGGACTCTGAGCCCTGCACTCCGCCCGGCACGGGGACACCTTCACTGGTTCCTGTGCTCACCCTACAGGGCAGGCGCAGCCTTGGGGGGACAGCAGATAAGCTGGCCGCTGTCATGAGGCAGCACGAAGAGCCAGCCGTGAAACAGTGCCGATGGCCGTCGCGGGCAGTGGCGGTGGCGGCGAGGCATCCTGTTTGTATTTGTGACAACGTTCTGCAGGTGCTCTGTGCCAACACCTGTGTCCCCAGAGGGGGCCTTTTGCCCCGTGGCCTTCGGCTGCTGACGCATTGCCCCGCCCCCCCAGGAGCCTTCATGATCCCGTTCCTCATCCTGCTGGTCCTGGAGGGCGTCCCGCTGCTGTGCCTGGAGTTCGCCATCGGGCAGCGGCTGCGCAAGGGCAGCGTGGGCGTCTGGAGCTCCATCCACCCGGCCCTCAAGGGCGTAGGTGCGCGGGAGCGGTGTGGGCGCCCTCTCTCCTGCTGCCTCTGTTTCCGGGGGGGGCTCACCGCCCCCGCCCTCTGCAAACCCTCCCCTGGAATCTGACGGAAGGGTCAGTGGCAGGGGCCAGGCTGGGGCCACTCCCGTCTGGGCAGCGGAGGCCGTCCTCGGGTGCTCGGGGTCTGAGAAGGTGTAGAATGGGGAGCGTAGTCCCCACTGCCGCCCACGGCAGGCTCGGCGAGCCCCCGAGGGGCCGCCCCCTGTCCTCTGGGACCCTCCGTGCTCTCACAGGCCTCCGTGGAGGAGGCCCCGGGACCGCCCCGCCTCCCGTAGCGCCCCTCCCCAGGCGGTGCGCGGGTGCCCGCAGCGTGTCCTTGCCCCCCAGGCATCGCGTCCATGTTCGTGTCCTTCATGGTGGGCCTCTACTACAACACCATCATCGCCTGGGTCCTGTGGTACTTCTTCAACTCCTTCCAGGACCCCCTGCCGTGGAGCACGTGCCCGCTCAACGCCAACCAAACAGGTGGGCCCGCCTGCACCCCTGAGCACGGCCCACGAACAGCGGCCCTCTGGGTTCCCCAAATTCAGATGGTTGTGGCTCGGGTGGGCGAAAACCAGGGCACATTTAAGGCAACAGCAAATTAAAAAAAAAATCACCACGCGGGAGAAAAGCCCTTAAAGGAGGCGCTTCGGCCTCAGGGGGCAGGGCGCTGGCTGAGGCTGGGGTGAAGCCAAGGCAGACGCCTCCGCCTTCCGGTAGTGGCCAGGCAAGGCAGTGGCCCGACCCTCCTCTGTCCCCTGCCACCACATTCCCCAGGGGCTTCTTCTCTGCAGCCACCCACCCCTCACCACTGGGTCCTCCTGGAACCCCCCATGGAGGGGAGTGGGGTGCACAGGACATGCGCTCAGCTCAGAGGCAGGCACACACCTGAGTCAGGCCGTGGACTGCCTGATCTGTGAGCACGGGTCCCACAAGCAGGGCGTGGCCAGTGCACGGATATGTGCGTGCGTGCATGTCCGCTTGGTGTGCTCACACTGTGCGCACACATGCATGCACGGGTGTACACGCCCACAGTGCGGGTATGTCCGTGTAGATGCACGCGTGGGTGTGTGCACACGGGTCCGCACGTGTGTAGATGTGCACATACGTGTCTGCGTTCCCGTTCGTGCACGTACGTGCATGCGTGCGCGACCTCCCTGGCGTCAGTAGTCGGGAGCACGGCCCGCGTTTCCTGCGCGGGGCGGTGCTCTCTGCCGCGCTCCGCGGCTCCTGCTCTCGGCGACCCGCGCTGACCGTGAGAGCGCCCCCCGCAGGCTACGTGGAGGAGTGCGCCCGCAGCTCATCCGTAGACTATTACTGGTACCGCGAGACCCTCAACATCTCCACCTCCATCAGCGACTCGGGCTCTGTGCAGTGGTGGATCCTGCTGTGTCTGACCTGTGCCTGGAGCATTCTCTACGTGTGCACCATCCGCGGCATCGAGACGACCGGCAAGGTGCGCGGGCTGCGGGGGCCCGGGGGGCGGGGGGC